AAAACAGTGGCTCAGTGGTTGCGCATTAACCTATGAACCAGGAGGTCACGGTTCCATTCCCGGGCAGGGCACATGCCAGGGTTGTGGGCTCCATCCCCAGTGGGACAGGGGAGAGGACCAATGATTCTCTGTCATCATTGATGCTTCTCTCTCTCTTTCCCTCTCCCTTTCTCTCTGAAATCAATTAAAAAATAAATAAAATAAAAAAACGCATGCGCGGTGGGTTCCGGGCGCTGAGGTACACGGGCGATCTGTCGTCCACAGAAATAACAAACCCGGGAGCAGGCCGGGCTCGCCAAGAAAGGCAGGTCCGCGGCCGCTGTGGCCACGTCCCAGCTGGGAGGCTGCGCTCCCCACGGGGAGGTGTCCGCAGGCAGAGCCGCACCCCACACAGTGGCTCCTGCGCCTGCTCCCCTCCCCCTGTAACTATGTGACTGTGTGTTACGTGTCCCTCGTTCCATGTAATTATGTGTCAATGCCTGGTTTGGACAGAGGCCACAGCTGGGTCCAGGAGGGTCCATGTTTGTTCACACTTCCTGTCTAGTGGCACTACAGTCGCGCAGTGCTCAGCAGATCCGACCTGGTGGCCCTCAGGGCCCAGAGCCAAAACTATCAGTCCAGTGGCCTTCAAGAGATCTAAGCCAGTGATATGTCCCAACATGGAACACCCCGAGAAGCCCACCTGCTCCCCCCAATCATGAAACACTTGGAGAAGCCCACCTGCCCCCCCCAATCATGAGACACCCGGAGAAGCCCACCTGTTCCCCGCCCCCAATCAATAAACACCCTGAGAAGCCCACCTGCCCCCAATCATGAAACACCTGGAGAAGCCCACCTGCCCCCCCCAATCATGAGACACCAGGAGAAGCCCACCTGTTCCCTGCCCCCAATCATGAAACACCCCGAGAAGCCCACCTGCCCCCAATCATGAAACACCTGGAGAAGCCCACCTGCCCCCGCAACCCTAAAACAGTGCTTCCTCTGAGGTCGGGCCTGACCAGTTCAGACATGTCGCTCAGGAGAGTGCTCGTACGTCAGGTCTGAGCACTCCCCTGGTGCTCAAGGGGGAGCCGTTGCAAGTGCTGACAGTCGTGCATGAAGAGAAGAGAAAGGGCCCTGGCCGGTGTGGCTCAGTAGGTAGAGCGTCGGCCTGGGGACTGAAGTGTCCCAGGTTCAATTCCGGTCATGGGCATGTACCTCAGTTGCAGACTCCTCCCCCACCTGGGCCCTGATCAGGGCTTGTGCAGGAGGCAACCAATTGTTGTGTTTCTCCCACATCGATGTTTCTCTCTGTTTTTCCCTCTCTCTTCCACTGGCTCTAAAATTCAATGGAAAAATATCCTCAGGTGAGGATTAAAAAACAAAGGAAAAGAGAAAGCCCTCCATGAATGGAAGATCATCTCAGTAGATGGAGTTTCACACACAGCATTTCTCTCTCGCCCCCGAAGCTGAAAGTGTAGGGTCAGCATCGAGTCCACATCAAGCCGCCCTGTGCCCACCGCCGGGCCAGAGGGCCATGCCCCGCCAGCCCCCCCAGCCCCCCCAGCCCAGTCTGTTGCCTGGCACCAGCAGGAATGCCTTTTCCTAGAACTGGTGGAAGTGCACCATTAGCCTTTACACCGGCTGGCGCCTGAAACCCACAGGCTCAACATGCTAAGCAGAGATACCTCCTTCGGCATCTGAGAGCAGTGGGTTTCTGAGCAGCCTGCTTCTCACATCAGAAATACTTGCAATGGATGCTGCTCTCCGTTAGACACAGAAATGACCATCTGTCTTCCCCTGCTCGCATCAAAGCTGACATCGCAAAATGATGTTGGAGATTTTATTTCACATACTTTACTTCATGCACTTACTCATACACAACGGAGTATTAATTATAGATTCATCATCTACTAGGATATGCACCATGTGCTCACTCATACACAACGGAGTATTAATTATAGATTAAGCGTCTACTAGGCTATGCACTGTGTGCTCACTCATACACAGCCGAGTATTAATTGTAGACTGATTAGCTAGTAGGCTCTGAACTATCTGAAGACGGACAGTGATATGACTGTCTATCTACCGCACATCAAGCATACAGAGGCTGTTGGGTATGGTTATCATTTTATGAAGGTTTCCAGGAGCCAAGCTTCAGGTCGTAATGACTCAATGAGAGGGTCCCAACAGAGTTTACTGAAAAGGTTCTGTAAGTCTGACTGAACTCCTAGCAGGCTGACGTCTAGAGATAGTAACTATTAGATAGTAACTATGAACTCATAAGCTCCAAACAAATTATAAAAACCAACTATTTGAAGCCCGTGGAGAACAATCAGAAACAAGAATATTCTGGAAGAGAGTCAGACTTGGGAGAAGGGAATGGCCTGGGCGAATTTACTGATTTTAGAATTTTTAGCCTCAACAGCAGAGTTTCAAGCAACTACAGCGTTGAAATGTCGGGAGGAACACTAGAAAAGACAAGAGTCAGACCTGAGGAGCCCCCAATTTCATGGATAAAATCCAACAATATATAAAAGGATAATATGTCATTACTAGGTAAGGTTTAACCTAGGAATGCAAAGTTGGTTTAATTAAAATAAATCAATCAATAAAATTCACCATGTGGAAAATTCAAAGGAGGTAACATTCTGTGTTCGTTTCAACAGATGCAGAAATGGCATTCAATAACATTCACCACCTCATCTGGATCAAACCTCTCAGCAAAACTGAAGTAGAAGGAACTTCCTCTACCTCATAAAGGTCATCTAATAAAAACCTATGGCTGTTACCATTCTTAATGGTAACATACTGAATGTTTCCTACATTGATTGGGATAAGGGAAGAATGCCTGATCTTCCCACTTGTATTCAAATATTATGCTAGAGATACTAGCCAATACAATAAAGCAAGCTAAATCCATAAAGAGCACACAAATTGAAAAAGAAGAAGTAATCTGTTTATACAGATGATATACTAATGTACGTAGCATATCCTAAAGAATTATAAAGCAACTTACTAGAATTAACAAGTGAGTTAGCAAGGTAGCAGCATACAAGGTTAATATATAAAATTTTAATTAGAAGCAAAAAAAAAAAGGAAAAGAATTTTAAATATCCATTTTACAAGTGTCAAAACATAAAACTTTTAGGAACAAGTTTAGCAAAAGACAAATAATCCCTTTATCCTGAAAAGTATAAAATGCTGTTGAGAGAAAATAAACATCTAAATAAATGGAAAAGATATACCATGATCAAGGAAGGGCAGTCTCTGTATTTTTAAGATGTCAAATCTCCCTAACCTGATCAACAGATTCAATGCAACTGCAATCATAATCCCTACAGAATGTCTTGGGACAATTCATACAATACTTATTCAACTTACATAAGATTGCAAAGGATCTACATCCAAGAAATCCTGAGAAGGAAGGACAAAGTTGAAGGGACTACATTACCTAACTTGATGTCTTACTATAAAAAAGCTACCGTAATGAAGACAGTAGGGTAGTAGCATTAGGATCCATAAGAAGAAAGTGTGACAACAGACCCTCACTTCCACAGTCATCTGGTTCTCATCAGAGATGCACAATCATCGGGAAGGAAGCATCTTTCAACAAATCTGACTGAAAAACTGAGTATCTGTATGAAGAAAAAGGTGAATTTTGACCCTCTATCTCACACCATACACAAAAATTAATGTCAGATGCATCATAGACCTAAAAGTAAAAGCTACAAGGAAATACAGGAGATTTTCTTTATATTTAACAAAGGACTTTAACATTTCCTTGAGCTTGGCAAAGATTTCTTAATTGGTAAAAGGTAACCATCAGAAAAGGAAATCCTGATACATCAGACGTCATTAAAATCGAAAACATCTGCTTATCACAAGACTCCATTAAGAAAACAGTAGACAAGTCATAGACTGGGCCAAGTGTTCACAAATCCCATGTCTAACAAATATGTGTCCAGGATATATAAAAAGCTCCTACAATTCAATGGTAAGAAGGCATCCTTCCCATTTAGAAAGAGACCAAAAATCTAAAAAGACACTTCACAACAGGAGATAAACGAACAGCCAATAAATACATGAAAAAGCACACAAAATCGTTACTCATCAGGAAAATGCAAATTAACACCACAAGGAATGCCACAGCATTCCTGGCTGAAATTGAAGCGACTGATAACATCAAAAGTTGAAGAAGACCTGGAGCAGTCACAATTGTGTGCCCCGCCCCTGGAGCTGTCACAGGGCACAGCCACTTTGCGGGGGGGGGGGGGAAGGGAGGGGAGGAGTATGGCAATTTCTTGTAAAACTAAATGCACAGCAATGAAATGCCTAAGCATTTACTCAAACTAAATGAAAACATATGGTCACAAAGTGATTTGTATGAAAATGTGTGTGCAATTTGATTTATAATAACCCATGCAGAAAACGGCCCAGGCATACTCAGGTAACGGATTAGTATTCAGCAATCTAAAGAAACCAGCTACTGAGATCTACAAAAGTGTGCGGGAATCGTGTACATGGACTCACAAAAGAGAGAAAAACAAGTAAAAATAGTATCAATTCGGGCCAAATCTAAGACCAAGATTTTAGAATTAGATACAAACTTTAAAGCACCTAATAGCACAGAATAATACTTGCATGAATGAAAAACAGACCCTTTTCTATAGAATGGACAACTAGAATAAACAGTATTTTGAACATTTATGTGCTGAACCCCCTAATTCCATTCCTAATCCAACCCTCATCTTACAAATAAAGAAACTAAAGTAGAACGAAGTTAACTAAACCATCCAGTCACATCGCCAGAGTGCCGTAAGCATACTCTTTAGGGCTCCATCCCTCAAACAGTGGAGACGGAGTCGCTAAGTTCCTGATCGCGTGTAAAAGTCTGTGTGTGTTGGGGGTGGGGGGAGGGGGGCTGCGCTAAGGGAACGACCCCTCGGAAAATACCAAACAAAACAGACACGCAGCTCCCTGGCGGGAGCTCACACGCCTGCATGGCCTCACTGTCTTACCTTAGGGAACTGTTTTACGGGAATTAACACTTTCTGTCCCAGCTTCATGTTCTTATTAATCACCACATCAATGTACTTCTCTTCGTCCTTTCCTTCTCCTTTTTGAAACTTTTCTATTTCTGTGGAGGAAAAAAGATAACCATGAAGCGTGTGACTTGGAACTCCAGGGGCCGGGAGTTCTCGGCGGCTCTGTGGTGGCAAAGGCAGAAATGCGGACCAGCAGACGGTACGTCTTATCGGTCATTCATCGCCGGCACCGTGGGAAAGGCAGGAACCGCGGCCCTAGCGAGCAGATCTCCGTTGCCCGCGCTAATGGAAGCTCACAAGCCAACACGGGCATCAGAAGTTCCCTGGGACCTTCTGGAACCCGAGAGGAAGGCTGAGCAAATGGCAGCCAGGAGCCAGGAAGGATTCCGGGTCCCGGTTACCAAGTGCTGACAGCCCTGGTCGGCGCCCTGCCCGGCTCTCCCAGGCCCCTCCCCTCAAGCACTGATTCTTCAGGTGCCTTCAAAGCCCCAGACAACCTGTCAGTTGCCCCCCAAGCTACTCTCCCCTCCTCCCCAGGGACAAGATCAAGGACAGGCCCATCTTTGCTAACGCTCTTCTCTCTCCCTGTGATGCCATTTGCTGCATGATTTCAGTTCCACACATGCTAGTATCTCCTTCCAGATCCAGCCACGTTGGCTGCCACTCTTCATGCGCCTCCGGCCCTTTCCTCACGGGGCAGCAGGAGTGGGAGAATCGCTCCCTCCCGCCCTGACACTCACAAAGCACCTCACACACGGCTGTACTGGAGCTCTCTGCTGCAGACAGTGTGTCCCCACCACCCCCAGGCCCCCAAATTCATCTACAGAGATCCTAACCCCCTCCCCCCAAATATGATGGGATTTGGAGGTGGGGCCTTTGGGAGGTGATAGGTCATGAGGGTGTTGCCCTCATGAATGAAATTAGTGCCCCCTGTGAGGACACAGCCGGAAGACTGCCATCTATGAACCTGGACGGGCCCCCACCTGACACCACACCTGCAGGCGTGTTCACCTAGGACTCGCAGCCCCCAATCCGTGCGAAACAGCTCTCAGCTGCCTATAAGCCAGCCAGTGTATGGTGGTCTGTCACAGGAGCCTTCGCTGACTAGGATGCTCTCCCAGTGGAACCTACATTTCTCTTAGGTAACATGTTTCTTCATGCAACAAACATCCACTACTAAGCACCTACTATGTGCACGTTCCAGATCCTGGAAAACGTCAGTATAGTTTCCTCGAGTTATTGCGTACAGCACTTGGCTGTGCAAGAGGCACACAATAGGTGCCTGGATGACTGCTGAATGGATGTGCATGTGGGCCAATTCCTCCACAGACTGATCACAAGGTGCCCAGGCTCTGAGGAAAACGGTGAAGAAATACAAGGGAGTCACTGTGGTCAGCTGCTAGATCACTAAAACCAAGCACGCCGAGGCGCGGGAGATGACTCTACCCTTGTTCTAACTAGCCTGAGAGCTGCAACTTGTGAACTCTAGAGTTATGCCTGCAGATATAATATGCATGTACACATACACATACATGCATGTATAGACATATGTATATACATATGAACATCCATGTAAATCCTATAGATAAACCTCTGATTAGCCCCCGAAGGACTCAGGAAAGAATGTTCACATCTCCGGACCCTTGACAGTCATCATCCAGACCACCGGGCATCTGTAAGACCGTCATCTCGGAGGACCGAACCTCAGGCATGTACGTTCTGCTATAAAAACTCAGCTTTTCTTTCTCCTTCGGAGCACTCCAAACTTCTTGGAGTTGTGTTTCTGATTTGCAAACCCGAAAACCCTTGAATGAATATCATTCATTTCTAGCCAGAGCCTCCTGATTCATTTCCACTTGGTGGACGGTTCACAGAAGGGGGCCTTTAAGCAGAGAGAAGGTACCAAAGATGCATCAGTTGTACAAAGGGGCACAGATATTTATCTGTTTTGCTTGTGGAGCTGGGAATATTTAGGAATTCGATGTCACATTCCTGACACAATTCAATCCTCCGGGGAGATGACAAACAGGAAGTTCAGAAAGGTCACTTTGCTGTAAGAAGTGGCAAAGGTGGCATTTGTCCCCAGGCGTGTCGGACTGTAATGCAGCATGCCGCGGCAGTCTCCCCCACCGTTGTTCTTATGTCCTGTCGGACAGGAAATACGATTTTCACAGCACCTTCGAGCCAGTGGGAAACGTGTGTGAAGCGGGAGGCTTCAGTCACCACTGACGGGCCCGGGGGGACCTCGATGTCCTTCTCTTAGTAACTTCCCACCCCCTGACCCCTCACGCTGCTCATCAGCTCTGCACCCTGCCTGTCCCTGCTGTATCAGAACTGGGCCTGATCTCTCCCGCTCCGGGGGGAGGGCTGAATAACGTCTTCCTGACCATTTTAACTAGTGTCAGAACCATTGTCTCTTTAACAACGCAGAGTAGAAACTAGATCAGTGGTTCTCAACCTTCTGGCCCTTTAAATACAGTTCCTCATGTTGTGACCCAACCATAAAATTATTTTCGTTGCTACTTCATAACTGTCATGTTGCTACTGTTATGAATCGTTATGTAAATATCTGATATGCAGGATGGTCTTAGGCGACCCCTGTGAAAGGGTCGTTCGACTGCCAAAGGGGTCGAGACCCACAGGTTGAGAACCACTGCTCTAGATACAATGGGATGTCATGAAACATACATATTTGGTCTTTGAGCCCAGTTCCTGGCACAGAGCTCCGACAACCCTTGGGATTCCCTGGCGCTGGGAGTGCCTTCTGTTCCTCACAGCAAACCCCGTCAGGCACACGTGAGTTCGTGCTCAGGAGGTGAGTCCTGGAGGAAGGGGGCCTGGTTGCCAGAAACGCCAACCCGGTGACTAGCAGGCTGAACCCTCAGCACCCGGCACTCCTGGCGCCTCCGGAGGAGGAGCAGAGCGAGACGCTGAGTTCAGTCCTCGGTGGACACGGATGTGGTCAGTCATGCCCACGTGATGGAATCTCCATAAAAACCCTTAAAAACCAGAGTGGGGACAGCTTCTGGAAATGCCTTTAGCATAGTTAGAAGAGTCAACAAAATTTGGTACACTGAAACTCCCTAGAAAAAAAGAAAGGAGCTTTAATGTGCGTGTGCTTGTCAAAGTAGATTTCGCGACCTGTTTTCAAGTAACAAAGCACTTTATGATTTTTGAGAACTTAGAACATATGCGCAATTTAATATCCAATTCCATAATCAGAACGCAAAATGTTACTCCTCGCACCAGCCGACATTTACCATTTGAAGTAACGTGTAAAGTCATAAAGGTAAAGTTAAAAAATTAGGGGGAAAATAGGTATTTTACCATAGGTTACATTAAAGTTTGAGATATGCCTATGATTTTAAAGAGGAAAATGAAAAGAAAATACATTTGCAACGGCATGGATGGAACTGGAGAGCATTATGCTAAGCGAAATAAGCCAGTCGGAGAAAGACAAATATCACATGATCTCACTCACATGTGGGATATAATGATCAACATAATTTGAGGAACAAGAATAGATCCAGAGACAAATGACAGGGGAAGTGGGGGGCAGCGGTTTAGAGAGCAACCAAAGGACTTGTATGCATGCACATTAGCATAACCAATGGACACAGACACTGGGGCGGTGGGGGCTTGCCTGGGGTGGGAATGGCTGGGGGGGGGGGCAATTGGGAGAAAAGGAGACATATGTAAAAATTTAAACAATTAAAAAAGAAAATACATATTTAAAAAAACATGATTTCCCTTCTTGATAAATAGTCAACTTTGCAAACCATACCTTGCTAAATAAAATACGTTGTTACCTTAAGGAAATTTGGATTATGTGGAAATACACATTTCACTGGTTAAGATTTACTTTTTAAAAATGTTGAAGCCTGGTGTCCTAGTAAGAGAGCAGGTGGGTTTTCGTGCACAGGGGCTGCCACCCCACACAGGGACTTAAGAACCAGGGCCCCTCCTTGGAGGCCTACAGCTCGGGTTCCTGCAAGGCCTCTGTGCCCTCCAGCTACAAAAGTCACAACGTCCATCCTTTAGGCCCAGGTCAGGCGGCCATTGTGTATTTTCTACCTGACTGGGGATGGTGAGCCGTTCGCTGTTCCCATGAATCCCAATAAGACACAAGGCCAAAAAGTGGGGGTCTGTACCCAGGGCCGATGAAATCTTGTGCGCCAGCCCCTAATTGGGGGCTCCCTATTCCTGCCCCCACCACTCTGACCTTCTCTGTGGAACGGGGGGCTCACCCAGGTGGGTGTGCCCCCTCTGCTCCTTCCACCGTGGCCAGTGAAAGGCAAGGCAACCACAGACAGGATCCAATTTGTCACCAGTTTACTACCCCAATGCCACCCCCGCCCCCAGCTCAGAAATGGGAAGCAAATGAGCGGTTAGGTTTTAGATCACGTAGGGCCGTGGTCGGCAAACTGCGGCTCGAGAGCCACATGCAGCTCTTTGGCCCCTTGAGTGTGGCTCTTCCACAAAATACCACGGTCGGGCGCGCACGTACAGTGCGATTGAAATCCGTGGCCCATGCGCAGAAGTCGGTATTTTGTGGAAGAGCCACACTCAAGGGG